GCCTGGCCCAGTGCTGGCCATTGTGGCCATTTGGGGAGTGAACCAGCAGCTGGAAGATCTGTCTCTCCTTGTCTCACTATAACTCTGTCTTTCAAATAAATAAATAAATCTTTGAATCCTAGCAGATGGGATGAGGGTTTGCCAGTGGTTAAGATGTCACCTGGGGAATGAAGCCCTATGCTACTATTTGTGGAAACTCTTGCAAAGGATAGAGAGCTAAATGTAATGCATTCCTAGATTTTAATTAGTGATATTTTCCATTACTAAATAAAATACTTTCATAGCCTAAAAAAAAAACAAAACGTGTCACCTGAGATGCTGCATCTCTATCTGAGTGTGTGGGTTTGCGTCCCAGCCCCACTCCTGATTCCGGCTCCCTGCTGATGGACACACTGGGAGGCAGCAGGTGATAGCTTAAGTAGTTGGATCCCTTTTCATGTGAGAGCTGCAGGATGAGTTTCTAGATCCTGGCTGGGGCTGGGCCAGGCTGAAGCCAGAAGCCCAGAGTTTCTTCCTGGTCTCCCATGTTGGTGCAGGGGCCCAGGGACTTGGGCCATCTTCGCTGCTTTTCCCAGGCACATGAGCAGAGAGCTGGATTAAAAGTGGAGCAGCTTGGCCAGCACCGCGGCTCACTAGGCTAATCCTCTGCCTGCGGTGCCGGCACCCCGGGTTCTAGTCCCAATTGGGGCGCCGGATTCTGTCCCAGTTGCTCCTCTTCCAGTCTAGCTCTCTGCTGTGGCCCCGGAGTGCAGTGGAGGATGACCCAGGTGCTTGGGCCCTGCACCTGCGTGGGAGACCAGGAGGAAGCACCTGGCTCGTGGCTTCAGATTGGCGCAGTGCGCCGGCCATAACAGCCACTTGTGGGGGGTGAACCAACAGAAAAAGGAAGACCTTTCTCTCTGTCTCTCTCTCTCTCTCACACTAACTCTGCCTGTCAAAAAAAAAAAAAGTGGAGCAGCTGGGGCTCAAACTGGCACCCATATGGGATGCCGGCACTGCAGATGGCGGCTGAACCCACTATACCACAGCACCGTGCTCACTAGGATTCTGAGTGTATTTCATCACGTGTTGGAGAAGATACAAATGAAGAGCATCGCTGAAATGTGGCCTCTGTTTTCTTTTGCAGAAGTGGACTGTAGAAGAAAGCGAGTGGGTCAAGGCTGGTGTGCAGAAGTATGGGGAAGGAAACTGGGCTGCCATTTCTAAAAATTACCCATTTGTTAATCGAACAGCTGTGATGATTAAGGATCGCTGGCGGACCATGAAAAAACTTGGCATGAACTGAAACAAGCCTTCATTTCCACAGGATTCACAGGAGCCTGGTTCCTAATAATAGTCCTGGTAGTCTGCTGTTCTTTCAGAAGCTGGGCTGGGCTAAGGATTTGGGCAGCCTCTGTCAGCACGGGGATGTCCCCGCTCCACTTCCTCACTGTGGGAGATCATGGAGCCAAGAAGCAAAGCCAATCTGCCCCGTGTCCTGGCAGAGGTGACAGGCACACAGCTTGTGTAGTGCCAGAATATCCTTAGGATTTCCCTTTTTTAGTGGTTTGCTTACATTTAAATCCCTGGTAATCTGTAGAATCTTCTAGGAAATGATGGAGTCTATTAGGAGCCACTTATGACCCCATGATCTTTTAAAACCAGCAACATGAGCATTTTTTGGAGTGAACTTGTTCAATGTAAAATGTTGGCCTTCTGATGCAAATTGAAAGGAACATCATCTGTTTGTTAGGAGCCCAGGTTGGTAAGAGCAGTCCTTGTGGAATCAGACTCCCTTTAAAAACTGGAAACAGTTGTGATCAACCCCAGACCTGACTGCCCTGGCAATGCCTCTTAATATCTGCTGGACTGTGTAGGCAGGTTTGTCCTCCACTTCTCATGTGGTTGAACCAGTGTGTTTTATGGTAAAATGGTGATTGTAGATAAGCTTAGCTACACCCCCTTCCTTCCCAGTCCCCTCCCTTAGCTGAATTTTAAAGCTAAAAACAAAACAAAACAAAACAAAAAAACAAATCCTGATTGAATATGAATGCCCAGTTCCATTCTTTGTGAAATGGTTGCTTCCGCCCGATTCTCTACTTGTGCTGTGTTAGTGTCTTGCACTGGAATTCAAAATTCCCTTCTCCTTTTGTACTGTGTTGTGCTTGCTGTCTCTCTTGGACATCCTTAAAGACTGTCTTTTTAGCAAAAAATTTCAGTAAAGTGTTTTCTGTAATCTTTTTTTAAAATATGAGAACTAATTATTGTCCATACTTGTAGCATTCTTCATTAAAGTCTTGCTTCTCTCAGATTTAAGTAGCTCATTAATTGAAGCCCAGCATGTATTCACAGATGGAGGCAGACAAATGATGAACAGAGTTTGCTAAACTGTTTTGATGAAGGAGCTAATGTCTTAACTGTACTGGAATTTCTAATCCTTGGAAGCTACGACAGATGATGATATGGAATTTGCCTCTTAATCTGTTAATTTCTTCTGAGGACAAGAGAATTCCTCCTTTCTCACTGTGGGTGGGTAGAGGCAAGGGGTAAAGAAATGCTAAAGCTTTAGAACTCATCCATTAGTTACAAACTGGAAACTCTGTTCATCCTTCCTGCCTACTAACAGTGTACTTTGGGTTTGGTACCACTGTTTTTCTATCAGCCAACACCAGGGGAGCTGAGGATGTGAGCTCCTCTTGGTCCAGCAACCTTCTGGTTGCAGCTGGTTGTGTCCTCCAAGCCATCAGATTAGAATGCAGTTTTCTCTTTTCAACTCAGATGATGTGAAGGCACTTTCTAGGTAAAAGAGTCAAACTGTATCGTCTGGGCAGGAGTGTGGCTTAGGATGCCAGCATCCCAGAAGTGCCTGAGTTCAAGTCCTGGTTCCGCTTCTGTCTCTCCCTTCCTGCTAATGTGCATCCTGGGAGGCAACAGTGAGGCTCAAGTAATTGAGTTCCTGCCAGCCACATGAGACACCTGGATTGAGTTTTAGCTCCTGATTGTGAGCTGCCTCATCCCCAGCTGTTGTGGGGCATGATGGGGCATGAACCAGCAGACGGAAGATAGCTGTTTTCTCTCCTGCCTTTCAGATAGCATGAAATTGTAGATTTAAGAACTAATATCCGAATCAGTGGTTCTTAAACTTGAGAAACTGCAAGTCCATTAACTTTTGTTTTGTTTGAAAGAGAGACAGACCCTGATCACTGATTCATCCCCCAAATACCACAAAGACTTGGGCTGGAGCTGGGAGCAAGAACTCAGTTTCTGTCTCTCATGTGGGTGGCAGGGACCCAACCACTTGAGTCATCAACGGCTGCTTCCCAGGGTCTGGTAACAGCTGGGACCAGGAGCAGAGCTGGTACTGCAACATGGGATACGGCGTCTTGAGCAGCATCGTAGTTGCTATGCCAGAATCCTACCACCATTAACTGTTTTTTCATGAAACTTCAGTGTTAGAAGAGTGTTACTGAAATGTGTACAAACAAAACTGTGTTTTACAGCTTCTGCAGAACTGTGTAACTTACTGTGATCAGTGACTGTAGCTGATTCCACTCATGCTGTGAGTGGTGGTAGGATTGCTGTGGCAGTGGGATCCATGTCAGGGACGCCTGTAGCACTGTACACTGATGGTCCACAGGTCTCCTGCCTTCACTTTATCCAGACAGCTGCAGGACCACTGTGCCTGCCCTGTGTTGCCCTGTGTTTGGCCTCCCTGGGACTGGATCATATGAAGTCTTCTCTGTTTTTTAGCTTGTGATACCAGGAATCACTGCAGTGAAGGCTGAAGCACTTTTTCATTAGAAGGTGATAATGCATCTTGATTTGTAAGATTATTAAAGAAACAGCATGTTTTAACATTGTCAGAACTCAGACCAATAACTTGAGGAATAGTCCTGATGGTTAAGAATTCGAGCCCCCATGAGGGCCCAGCTCTGGTAGCTGTGCTTGAGACCATGAGCCAGCCACTCAGTTTCCTGTCTTCTTCCTCATCTCTGAACGTGGACCACAGTAACCTCCTTCATGGGTCTGTTGGGACCAGGAAGATGCAAGCACCTCTCAGCTCAGTGCTTGCCACGGAGTCAGTGGATGCTGAAGTCCTGAATGGAAGAAGAGGTCTGAACAACTTAAGTCTCTGGGTGGCTCTGCATAGCTTTAGATAATATACCAGGTAGAAGATAAAAGAACAAGGCATGTTGGTGAGGGGTTGGCCACTGTCTTTGTTACTCTTCATTTAAAGGTTGCATGCTGTACCCCCTTTTTTTTTTATTTATTGATTTATTTGAAAGAGTTACACAGAGGAGAGGCAGAGAGAGACAGGGAGGTCCTCCATTTACTGGTTCATTCCCCAGCTGGCCGCAACAGCTGGAGCTGCGCTGATCTGAAGCCAGGAGCCAGGAGCTTCTTCCAGGTCTCCCACATGGACGCAGGGGCCCAAGGACTTGGACCATCTTCTACTGCTATCCCAGGCCACAGCAGAGAGCTGGATCGGAAGAGGAGCAGCCGGGACTAGAACCGGCGCCCAAATGGGATTTTGGCACTTCAGGCCAGGGTTTTAGCCTGCTGTGCCACAGTGCCGGCCCGTGCTGTACCTTCTGTAATATGTAGCATTGAGCAATCTGGGGTTTCTCTGTCTTGTTTGGAAAGAGCAGGTAGCACCTAGCAATTCAATATAAGAAAAAAAATCTCCCCACCTGACTTGTCTATTTAGGTGTATATTCAGGTGATTATAAATAAACTTTGCTAATATTTTATTCCTAAGAAGCATGAACTGAAAATGATAGCCCACCCCCCCAAAAAAAAAATGTTAGCCCAAAGAGTAGACAAGAACCTCTCCTGAGGCATACTCTGTGGAGCCCCTATTTAGGTTTGATAAGCAAGCCACTGGGTTTTGGAGGTGAAAGCAAAAACTGTGAGACGAGAGTGGACGTGTCATGGCAGTTCTATTACTGGATGTTTGTGCAAGGCCCTGAAGTTGGCCTAACTTGAATTGTGGGGTTAATGATTACCCCAGCAGTCGTCCAAACCACTTTGGTTCCACTGGGCTGCAAGCAGCACCTGCAGAGTCTACAGGAAGCAGCATGTCCCCTTTGCTCTTTGGGGCTGGGTTGGTGATTCTGCATCTAGTGATTCCTATTAGGAACCAGAAGACACAACTCCTACCTGGCCAGCCGCTCTTGCGTGCAGCTGATCGACATGACTTTGCCATCATGATCCCTCCGGGAGGCACAGAATGCTTTTGGCAATTTGCCCAACAGGCTGGATACTTCTATTTCAGTTATGAGGTACTTGGGCTCCTCCAGCCACACTGGAGATTTGTTCTTTTTCATTTTGTAAAGTGGGTCAGGTTCTAGACTAAAACAAGGCTTGGTTGTCTGTTACACTGTGATTCCCCACCTATTAATGAAATGAACCTGCAGTTAGAGGAGAACTCTCGGATGAATAATCCCCAATAAGAGCTAAAACATATGGTTTGGCTTTTCCTACCAAGGGAGGCGTACTTTTAACATTTACTTATGACATTAATAAAGATTTAGTACAAATTCAAATGAAGAAGTAGCATGAACTTTGGAGACCCAAAGATTTCAAAGTTCATGGGGCCAGGGGAGCAACATATGCTATTCTGCCTTTAGAGTGATTCCAACAAACTGGAGAGTCACTGGCTCAAGGTTTGTTTCTACTCAGCAACACAATCCTACGTCTCTTAAGGTAAATGCTTTCAAGTTACCTGATCACGGGTCAAGAACGTTTAACTATACTGTTAACAGTACAAAAGTCAGCATTAAAGTTGTAGCCTGTTGCCTTTATCTTAGAAATCTGCTAAATTTCCAGTTTTTATTTATATAGTAATAGATTATGTTGATCTTATTCCATTCCACTGTAACTTAAAATCTGTTTTAAATAAACTTATCAGAGGCCGGCGCCGCAGCTCACTAGGCTAATCCTCCGCCTTGCGGCGCCGGCACACCGGGTTCTAGTCCCGGTCGGGGCTCCGGATTCTGTCCTGGTTGCCCCTCTTCCAGGCCAGCTCTCTGCTGTGGCCAGGGAGTGCAGTGGAGGATGGCCCAAGTGCTTGGGCCCTGCACCCCATGGGAGACCAGGATAAGTACCTGGCTCCTGCCATCAGATCAGTGCGGTGCACCGGCCGCATTGCGCCAGCCTCGGCGGCCATTGGAGGGTGAACCAACGGCAAAGGAAGACCTTTCTCTCTGTCTCTCTCTCACTGTCCACTCTGCCTGTCCAAAAAAAAAAAAAAACAAAACCAACACCTTATCAGAGATTGTCCTTATCTCTGAATATTTTTGAACAGCAGCTACTAGTCAGTTCACTATAGCCTGGACTTACCAAGATCCAGCTTGGGAGTGGGCACTGTGGCACAGCGGGCTAAGCTGCCACTCGGGACACCTGCATCCATCAGAGTGCCTGTGACCTGGCTACTCTGCTTCCCACCCAACTTCCTGCTAACGTGCACCTGGGAGGCAGATGGTGGCTCAAGTACTTGAATCTCTGCTGTCCATATGGGAGAGCCGGGTGGAGTTCCAGGCTCCTGGCTTCAACCTGGCGCCCAGCCCCAGCTGCTGTCCTGGTTATGTAAATGTAAATGTACCAGGGACTGAAGATATCTCTGCCACTCTGCCTTTCCAAAGGAAAAATAAAAAAGATTCGGCTTGAGACAAGTGCCTGCTGTGGGTATGGGCTGCAAGGCAACAAATGTCCAAGTGTGGGACACTGCCAAGGAGCTCACCAAACAAGTTCAGTGAAGAACTCCAGCCAGAACCCAACCTATCCGCTAATCCACACCAAATGACCGGTCAGATTGGGCTTCTTCCTTAGCAGGGGTGCTGTAGGCATTTTGCGCAATTCTTTGTTCTGCAAGGGTATTTAGATTTCTGTGCCTCCACACTGAACACCGTCACCATGACAACTAAAAACTCTTCCAACCTCCCCAGAATTTGCACCATCCCAGATGGAAGTCACCGAGGTGCTGATGGTGGGATCTCAACCTTACCTACCACCTATGTGGATTATTAGTGATGGATGTAGCAGCTGCTTTTCTTCCATTTTAATGTGTCTCGGCAGGTTCAGCGGACACTGGGGATGTCACATGACCGGCACGTTGCTGCCACGGCACACACCCCGCAGGGTGTCCTCTTAGACACTTCCCAGGATGTTCGGGGACAGATTAACTTCCCTACCAAAGAGACAGGTCTGTTTCCATCATCATAGCTATTACAACATTCATAGGTTTCCAAGTAACTGGAGGAAAAGGAAGTACATCGAGATGGTGAAACAGAAGGAAAAATATTGAGCCTTCAGCACCCAGAGCCAGTGCTCCTGAAGACTGCTCATGTCTAAGGGCAGGTGGGGTGGGGTGGGGGCAGTGTCTCCAGGTGACTATTACAACCTCCCTAGAAGCTAATCAGACCGGGAAAATGACTCAGAGACCCATTTATAATATAGAATTCCAATTCATTTGCTGTGAGGTAGCGTTTCTTTCCAGTCATCAGAATACTTTGAGCCAGTGACTAAAAGCAGATTTAGAACAGCCACAGGAGATACCCACACTCCACAACACACTTCTCCAGTCAAAAATCCCTCCAGCAAGAGCAAGCCCGCCCCCGCCGGCACTGCGCCAGACTCACCTGCCCTCTTTACTAGCCAGGTGCACCAAGAGGACTTTCTCAACGGGAGCATCAGACAAACTTGGCATCACAGGCCCCTACATGCCGACAGTGCCTCCCAGTCATTTTGACCTCTCTAATCTCAACAACCACTGGCTCTCTGACTACCGGAATCTCCACCCAACCTACACACACGACGGCAACGTCAGCCAAGAGCCAGCACCAGCAGATAGCTTAAACCATCAGTCTCTGTACACGTTACCCGGCAAGCAATTACTCCAGGGTGGTTTCATTCACATCACTTTCTCCCTTAGTTTAAGTTCAGGGTGGTATTCTAGCTCTGATGCTGTGCAATGAGCACATACTTCATGCTCTTAATTGCAAGCCAACCTGTTGTTCCTCAATAACATGTGGGAAGCACAGGTTAAAGAGTACACTGGTTTTTTATTCAGTATAAAGTTATTGATATTTGACAAAATTAAAAATAAATTTTATGTAACATCTTCCATGTCAAACATGGGATCTCTAGACTTCCCAAGTAAACAGGGTGCTACGGCAGCAATTTTAAGGCTGAGAAGCTGTCTCTCGGGAAATCTTAACAGAGTAGGAGACTCAAGACTTAGTAATGATGCATGAATTCCTACAGGTTTTTACCAGCTTTGTCTAAGTAATCAGCAAAATCACTTTGGTTCTGTGCAAGTGTACCTCAATTTTGGAATTTTCTATGAGGGGCCTGAGACGGACCATAAACAGCAGGACAGGAAGCAACTGAACGACACTCTGGATGCAATTGAGGTAATGGGGCATTCTGTGGGAAACCTCTGTGGAAACCGATTTTAAACTGGAATGAGGGCTCATTTGGGTAGAAACCATGTAGGCAAAGGGATCTGAATCCTTTCATACATTTTTTACTTGGAGTTTTTGAAATTCCTCACTTGTTTTATACCAGCGGTTGGCAAATTGGCTCACAGGCCCAATCTGGGCTACTGCCTTTTTTTCCTAATAGAGACAGAACATATATCATACAACTGAACATCAACAGCATATTCACAGGACCATGCAAACACCATTGGCATCTAATTCCCTAAGTCTTATCACCCCAAAAAGAAACCTTCTATCCATTTCTCTCTCCATTTCCCATGAGACCCTAGTCTTGACTTACCTATTCTGTACATTTCATATAGATTTAACCATACAATGAATGGCCTTTTAAAAAGATATTTATTTGAAAGGCAGAGTTACAGATGGAGGGAGAAAGATCTTCAATTGGCTCACTCCCAAATGGCACCAACAACTGGGGCTGGGTCAGGCTGAAGCCAGAAACCTGGCACTTCACCCAGTTCATCCATGTGGGTGATAAGGATGCAAGTGCTTGGGCCACGTTATGTGGCCTTCCCAGGAACAGGAGCAGGGAGCTGCACTGAAAGCAAGCACCACTCAAATGGGATGCCAGCATTGCAGGTGTGGCATAACTCACTGCACCACAATGCCAGCCTCCAATACACGGCCATCAGTGTCCAGCTTCTCCTTCCTGGTAGTGTTTTCATGATCCATTCACATTGTTGCACATATGTCTTCAGCTCCTTTTTAGGGCTAACATACTGTATGGGAAAACATCTTATTTATCCATTAAGCAGTGGATAAACACTTTGATTATTTTCACCTTTTGGCTATCATAATGCTGCTGTGAACATTTCCATACCAATTTTTACATTAGTTTTCTATTTTGTATGGCTAGAAGTACAATCCTTGGGTCATGTGGTAACCAGCCTTTGTCGAGTAACAGTGGCTAAACCATTTTACACTCCCAACAGCAGCACAGGAGGGTTCTAATTTCTCCACATCCTGGCCAGGAACATTTCTTTCTTTTTTTTTTTTTTAAGATTTATTATCTTATTTGAAAGGCAGAGCTAGAGGCCGAGGCTGAGGTCTTCCATCTGCTGGTTCACTCCCCAGATAGCTGCAACAGCCAGAGCTGGGCCAATTCAGTCAGGAGCCAGGAGCTTCTGGGTCTCCCACCTGGGTGGGCCATCTTCTACTGCTTTCCCAGGCCATAGCAGAGAGCTGGATCGGAAGTGGAGCAGCCAGGACTCTAACCGACACCCATATGGGATGTCAGCACTGCAGTCGGCAGCTTTAGCCACAATGCCACAGCACCAGCCCTGACTGGCCATCCATACTTGTTACTGCCTTTATTACAGCCACCCTAATGGGTGTCAAGTGGTATCTCATATCCTGGATTACTGAACATCTTCTCACCTTTTTATTGACCATTTGTGTATCTTCTCTGCAGAAATTCTACCCAAATCTTGTCCATTTTTAAGAGCTTTATCTACATATTCTGGATACAAGTCCTTTATCAGATACAGTTTGCAGATATTTTCTCCCATTCTGTGGGATCTTTTCACTTTGATAGTCTTTGTGACACCCAAGAGGCTCGCTGCCTTTGTAAATGGGAAGCTCTGCTGGAAGGCAGCCATGCTTGTTTGAACATGTCACACCGTCTAAGGCTGTTTTTGCACTCTAAGAGCAGCGTTTGGTAGCTCCAAGAGACCACACAGTCAGCAAAGCCAAAATATTTACTACTTGGCCCTTTAACAGTCCCCAGGCCTTTGTCTTCTAACATACACCTGGAGGGGTAACGGTAAATTCAGTTTGTTTCAAATCCAGAGGCACTGCACCCTTCTGGAAGAGCTGTCTGATTTGAACACTCACATTTTTCATTATAATATAGGTTTTTTTTTTTTTTTTTTTTTTTGACAGGCAGAGTGGACAGTGAGAGAGAGAGAGACAGAGAGAAAGGTCTTCCTTTGCCGTTGGTTCACCCTCCAATGGCCGCCGCGGCCAGCGTGATGTGACCGGCGCACCGCGCTGATCCGATGGCAGGAGCCAGGAGCCAGGTGCTTTTCCTGGTCTCCCTCATTATAATATAGTTTTAAAAACTACAGTTAAAGATCATTCTTCACATACAGCAAAATTAGCATTTATCAGCAAGTATACTAGTACTACTTATCTAAAATTGACAGTGAATTACTCAACTTCCAGATAACCTAAGTAAGGGTGCTAGTAACTGCCCAAATGAGACTAGGTGGCAATCGGTGACTTTACTGTGCTGGCAATGGTAATCACTGATGTTCCCCACCACAGGAGAGCACACAAAGGGTGCAGAACAACATCTTCCACATGTGGCGATTCTACAACTTCGCCCGGATGAGGAAAATGGGTGACTTCTTCCTTCTCCAATCAAATTACAACTATGTGAATTGGTGGTCGGCAGCACAGAGCCTTGTCATTGTTCTTTCCGGGGTATTGCAGCTTCATTTCTTGAAGCGGCTCTTCGATGTCCCCACCATCAGAGACACGAAGAAGCCAAGATGCTGAGCCAGGCTGAGGACAGCACCCTGACCCTTTTCTTCTGGGGCAGGACCTCTGTCCACGCTCTGGTCCAGTCAGCTCTGTAAAGCTACTGGAGGGAAAAGATCAAACTGTCCTAGTATACTGTGCTCACTTACAAAGGCAGAATGGCAATAAAACAGTGGCAAGGAAAACAGTGCTGAGGTTGGTATTTTCCAGAGCATATATTAAATCAACTATCTAAATACTGCTCAGTAGTCAGCAGTCCTTTAGACCTCACTGAATCTCAAGGCAAAGCCTGGGGTGGGAGAAGAGCTAAACAAGAGGGGACAAAATCAAGTTTGCTTACAGAGAAAAACAAGAGTTGGTAGAGTGTTTCTGTGGTCAAAACTGTTTTATTTTTAGAGGTATCTTCTTTGGAATTAAAAATGAGTATATTCATTTAAAAACTGTTTACAACACACATCTTAAAAACCTGTGAAACGTTATTGTCCTTTTTTTTTTAGAACTATTGTTTTTTTAAAAATTTATTTATTCATTTGAAAGGCAGAGTTATACAGACAGAGAGTCTTCACTTGCTGGTTCACTCCCCAAATGGCCGCAACGGCCAGAGCTGCGCTGATCCAAAGCCAGGAGCTTGGAGCTTCTCGGTCTCCCACGTGGTGCAGGGGCCAAGGACGTGGGCCATCCTCCTCTGCTTTCCCAGACACAGCGGAGAGCTGGATCGGAAGTGGAGCAGCTGACTGGAACTAGTGCCCATATAGGATGCTGGCACTGCAGGCCATGGCTTTACCCGCTATACCACAGTGCTGGCCCCAGTGTTACCGATTTTTAAAATATATTTTCACAAAATAATTTTAAGAAACATGTGAAAGGTGAAGAAGCTGAATTATTATTTCAGAGCCTCCAGTGCTTTTGGTCCAGTCCAGGCCAGGCCAGCCAAGTAGGCAAAGAGGTTTGTAAGAAAAATTGATTTCTAACTTTGAAATGATTCTTAAGCAGATGGTTAAAGCTGTTTCAGTTTTTCTTTTTTAAACAGAAGAAAATGAAGCATGTTAAAGCTGAAGGACTCTCCCAAAGCCATCTAGCTGGAAGGTGGCAGAACTAGTCTGAATCCAAGTTTTTGTTTTATACCACGTAGCACTTACTGTATAGAAAAATAGCTAAATAAACTGCTCTTATTATCTTAGTCAAATTCCATTTGAGGCCTACTACTCTGATATGGCAATATCTTTCTTGATTTTAATAAATAACATAGAAAAGCCAGAGTTTAGAAAACAAAGTGTTATCACAGATAACAGTAACAAGCTATTCTTGTCCTCAGTTCCAACAATGTGGAACCTGTAACTCACAAGAAGCCCTCCAATTCAAATCTGTAATGGGGTACTCTACCGAGTCACAAATACAAAGATCTGAAACCTCGTTTCTGAGCCACTGTGTACATTAAGAATCCAGCTTGCATTTGTCAGCGATGCCGTATTACACATAGAAGTCCCTGACCAGGTCACGGTGCTTCACACAAAGACCACACACAAAGGAACAAAACTAGACCCTTCTCAGGGCCGGCTGTCCTGGCGAAGGCTTTTTAAGTCAGCGTTTCTTCATGCCGCACATACTCCCCAACGTCTGCTTGATGAAATACAACAATGGCCATGGGGTCTACTTTCCTGCAGTCTTGTGTAGACTTTGCTGCCACCCCCAAAACCCTGGGATTCAAAAGAAGAGACACGAAGTCACTCGAGTCACTCAAACAGCCCACACTGAGGAGTGGAAAGAACACAGACGCAAAAAACACAGTTCTTGTCTTTGAGGAACTCAAAAAGTGAGGAGAACTCATGTCATTCGAGAGCACAGACCGAAAACTCCTCTCTCGGGAGCAGAAAGGTGGCATCATCTCTACTCACCAAAGGGATGTCGGCCATGGAGTAGACCACCACTCCCTGGTACTGAGCAGTGTTCTCAGTGATTCGCCCTAGACCAGACTTCAAAACGTGGTTCCCATACAGGAAGGACTGCTCGGCGCCGGGCTTTATCCACACTTTGTACTGCAGAGGAGAGAACGAAAAGGCAGGAGACACATAAACGCCAGTGCTTCTCTCCCTGCAGAGGCCAGGATCCGCAATTAGCTTCTTAAAAAGGATTAAGAGAGAGAGAGAGAGAGAGAAACACGCATTCCCCCAGACGGTTCAGTCCCTGAGCAGGACTGCCAGCAAGTTCTTCCCTCGACTCTGCACGAACAACTTCTGCCACGGGCAGCTCCACAGCTGCTTCTCCGGGCCTCAGGGCCACCTGTGTGACCTGGGCCCGCACGGGCTGTCCTCCCCGGGGACCGAGCCGCGCGGCACCCCCGCCGGAGACCCCGTGGGAGAGCGGCCGCGGCTTCGCCCCCAACCCCGCACACACCTTGGCGTAGGGCGCCAGGTAGTCCAGCGCCGTGATGTGCAACCGGAACTTGTGGGTCTTGGTGAACTTCCCGAAGCAGGTCCCCAGCGACACCAGCTTGTCCCCGGAGATGTTGGCGGCCAGTTTCAGGATCTTTTCACTGATGGGGGGAGGGGAAGAGGCCCGGGATGAGGAGGGGGTTGGTGCGCCCCGGGCCCGCCGGCCCCCGCCCGGCCCCGCCTCACCTCACGTAGTACACGCGGTCGTTGTGCAGCCTGAAGCAGTAGGTGCCGTCGGGCCGGTCGACGAGCAGCTGCAGGTTCTCCCCGATGCTGGGGGCCAAAAAGAGGACCAGAGTCCGCTCGAGGGGGCCCGTCCCGGCCGCGCGCCCTCACGTCTCCCCCGTCCCTCTCCACCGCACACACTCCCTCGTCCGCCCCGCGCGCGCGCCTACTATTTGGCCATCTTCTCAAACATGACCCGCGTCTCCTCTTCAGTCAAAGGCCGCATCTTTCCGCCGGGCTGCAGCCCCAGATCCGCGTGCCGCAGTAACCGGAAACGGAAGTCGGCCGCCGGCGGCTCCCGGGCAACACCAAAACCCGCCTCTCTTGCCCCGTTCCGGTCGTTCCTCAACCCAGGGCCCAGGCGCCCGGAGGACCGCTGGGGAAGGAAAGTCGGACGGACCAGCAACCATAGAGACAGGAAGCGCGCCCCTGTTGTTTCCGGTTCTAGGAGCGGCGCCAGCGCGCCCTCCCCTGGCCGGAGGTGAAGTGACGCTGCTGCCGGGAAGATGGCGACGGCGGCGACTGTCCCGTCGTCAGCCACTGCCACATCGACGGCTGCCGCTGTCGGAGAGGTGGAAGATGAAGGGCTCCTGGCGTCGCTGTTCCGGGACCGCTTCCCCGAGGCCCAGTGGCGGGAGCGGCCGGACGTGGGCCGCTACCTCCGGGAGTTGAGCGGCTCGGGGCTGGAGCGGCTGCGGCGCGAGCCCGAGCGCCTGGCGGAGGAGCGGGCGCAGCTGCTGCAGCAGACGCGCGACCTGGCCTTCGCCAACTACAAGACCTTCATCCGCGGCGCCGAGTGCACGGAGCGCATCCACCGCCTCTTTGGCGACGTGGAGGCGTCGCTCGGCCGCCTGCTCGACCGCCTGCCCGGCTTCCAGCAGAGCTGCAGGTGCGGCGGGGCTGGCGCTCCCGGGGCTTTTCGCTGGGCGAGCTGACACTTAGCGTAGCGCTTTATGAAGCCACTTAAACCTCGCGGCAGCCCTCGAGGTAGAGGTTAGTGACTGGTCCAGGGACCCAGTGAGTTTTCAAGTCGGAACTGGAACCCAGGAGCTGGCCCCTCCCTCGCAGGGCGGCTGAAATCCACACAGAGCACTCACCGACGGGTCTGACGCGGTTAACTGCACACACACACACACACACACACAGCCGGTGGGAAGCGTGTGCTCCAGACGTGTGTCCGGGCCCCTGATCCCGTCCCTGCTCCCCATGTCCTCAGTCTGTTAGCCTGGGTCTGCCCCCGGCCTTCCGTGAGCCTCGCTTCGTTCCTGTGTCTGACGGCACAGCTGTTGGCAGTGCGGGCTTCGGCTTGCAGAGCCCCGCAATTAGAGGAGGAGGCCTGAGCAGACCTGGGCGCGAAGGCAGGCTGACCGCTGGCCTCGGGAGACATGAGCGCCTGGGGGCGCGGGGCGATGTGGCCGCTGGGCTACGGAGAGGACCATAGCAGCTGCTTTTTTTTTTTTTTTTTAATATTTATTTTATTCATTTGAAAGACAGTTACAGAGAGAGGTAGAGAGAGAGAGAGAGAGAGAGGTCTTCCATCCGCTGGTTCACTCCCCAACTGGCCACAATGGCTGGAGCTGCGCTGATCTGAAGCCAGGAGCCAGGAGCTTCTTCTGGGTGTCCCACGCGGGTGCAGGGGTCCCAAGGACTTGGGCCATCTTTTACTGCTTTCCCAGGCCACAGCAGAGAGCTGGACTGGAAGAGGAGCAGCCGGGACCAGAACCGGCGTCCATGTGGGATGCCGGCGCTTCAGGCCAGGGCTTTCACCCGCTGCACCACAGTGCCGGCCCCAATAGTAGCTCTTTCTAAAGGAACATTTCACTGTGTCTTTTCTACTCTGACACAGGTTCTCTGAGTGCTTCACCACGGCTAGTTAGTGGCACACGTGGGATTCAAATATTCAGATAGCTGTGTGATGTAGGAGAAATTGTTTAACCTCTCTGGGATTAAAAATTTCCTCAAGTTCAAGCGTATTTACCTCATAGTCTGTGATGAGGATCAAACCAGATAAACCAGCCAGCCGGCACCTAGTTCACGGTAAGTTCTGGGTAATGAGCGAAGGTGTAAGTGCAGAGGGGAGGGGGGCACTGGCATTGTGTAGGGGTGGCGTAACGGGTTAAGCCACTACCCGCAGCGCCAGCATCCCACATGGGCGCTGGTTCGAGTCCCGGCTGCTCCACTTCCACTCCAGCTCCCTGCTAATGTACTTGGAAAAAGCAATGGAAGGTGGCCCCAGCACCCACACGGGAGACCCAGAAGAGGCGATATGTTCTGGCTGTTGCGGCCGCCTGGGGAGTCAATCGGGATGGAAGATCTCTCTCTGCGTCTGTCTCTCCCTAACTCTGCCTTTCAAATAAAACAAAAACAGGTGAGGGCCCCATGCTCTGCTCCTTCTGTAGGAACTTCCTGCAGGAGGCCGAGGAGATCGGCTGCAGCCGGCGGATGAACACGCTGACTCTGAACCGGCACACGGAGATCCTGGAGATCTTGGAGATCCCTCAGCTCATGGACACCTGCGTGCGCAACAGCTACTACGAGGAGGCCCTGGAGCTCGCCGCCTATGTGCGCCGCCTGGAGAGGAAGCACTCCTCCATCCCGGTCATCCAGGTAGCCCGCGCACACCGCTGTGCGGACGCGCTCAGCCCCTCTGGTCTGGGCTCCTGACCGGCCTTTAGGCAGAACCCCTGGCCTGTGTCACCTCAGTTTCAGCCAGGCAGTCTGGAACTGAAGACACTCGCTCATTCAAAGATGTGTGTTCCCTGTGTGCCAGGCACTGAGCTAGGTACCCGGCTGTGGTGTGGACAGAGCAGCTGGCAAGGTCCTGGCCTCTCCAGGCTCACATTCTAGTGGGAGGCCCAGTGACTGACAGATGAACAACATGCTCAGACAGTGCCGAGTGAAGAAACCTCATAAGGGATCACGGGAGAGGGAGACTGGGCTGGGTTCCTCCGGGCAGAGGGGTCAGCGCAGGCCTTTCTGGAGAGGGAACATTTAAGCTGAAACCAGATGATGAGGAGCCAGCCACTCCCAGATCCTGGGAGAGAGCAGGCGGCTGAGGGGGGAAGGAGTGGCGTGTTCACACAGACATTGTAGTGCCAGCGAGAGGGCCCTGGAAGGGGGCAGGGCCTGCAGGCGTGGCTAGCAGCAGGGGCTTCACGCAGTGGGAAGTCACTGCCAGTTTTAAGCTCTGTGGACAGAGTTACAGATCTCGGCCAGATCTTGGGGAACCAGCACGTCTGAGCTGTAGGAGATGGACCTCGGACGTGAGGAAGGCCAGGGGGATGCGGGTGTGCCATGTTCGGGGCAGTGCGGGGCTCAGAGCGTGTCCCTGTGCCGCAGGGCATCGTGAGCGAGGTGAGGCAGTCCATGCAGTTGATGCTGAGCCAGCTCATCCAGCAGCTGAGGAGCGGCATCCAGCTGCCCGCCTGCCTGCGCGTCATCGGCTACCTGCGGCGCATGGACGTCTTCACCGAGGCTGAGCTGAGGGTGAAGTTCCTCCAGGCCCGAGAGGCCTGGCTCCACTCCATCCTCACTGCCATCCCTGATGACGACCCCTATTTCCATATCACGAAAACCATCGAGGCCTGCCGCGTCCATCTGTTCGATGTCATCACTCAGTACCGCGCCATCTTCTCGGACGAGGACCCGCTGCTGCCCCCCGCGGCGGGGGAGCGCACAGTGAATGAGAGCGCCATCTTCCACGGCTGGGTGCTGCAGAAGGTCTCGCAGTTCCTGCAGGTGCTGGAGGCGGACCTTGCGCGGGGGATCGGCGGCCGCCTGGACTCCCTGCTGGGCCAGTGCATGTACTTCGGGCTGTCCTTCAGCCGGGTGGGGGCTGATTTCCGGGGCCAGTTGGCTCCTGTGTTCCAGCGGGTGGCCATCAGCACTTTCCAGAAAGCAATTCAGGAAGCAGTAGAGAAATTCCAGGATGAAATGAATTCCTACACCCTGGTCTTGGCTCCAGCCATCCTGGGCAGCAGTAAGCTGCCTGCCGCCGTGCCAGCCGCTCAGCCGGGGACGCTGCAGCCACCGATGGCGCTCCTGGACTTCCCACCGCTCGCGTGTTTCCTCAACAACGTTCTGGTCGCCTTCAATGACCTGCGCCTCTGCTGCCCTGTGGCCCTGGCGCAGGAAGTGACCCGGGCCCTGGAGGACGCCCTTGTCCAGGTGAGCACGTCCTGCTGGCTTCCTGCTGCCCGGGCCTGTGGGGACATCAGGCAGGGAGTGCGCTGTAAGGGGTTCCTGGGGCAGAAGTTCTGATCGGTCTCCTGGCTATGGGACCTGGAACAGTCCACGAAGCGGCTCCCACGTAAGGAGGACTCAGTATTGTACTGGTGTCCTGTGCTGTATGACGGCTCCACCACCAGTTTCTGTGAGTCAGGAGAACGGGGCCCTGTGTTCAGGCTCTCACAACGTTGCCATCGAGGTGTCAGCCAGGCGTGGCCTCAGGCCTCCCTTCGGGCTCATTCAGGTAGGCGGTTTCAGTTCTTGCAGGTGCAGAAGCTTCAGGGCTGAGGCCCTCCGCTCCTCAAGGCCTTACGATGAATGGCATCGCGTCATTTCTGTGCAGCTGTATAAAATCTTGGTGTCCCCTTGTAAACGCAACCAAGCATTCGAAGCATCGTAGAGTCAATGCAATTCAGGTTGTAGAACTCAACACTTACAGGGTGCTTGCTCCATGCCAGGTAGCAGTCAAGACTTGATCCTTGTGGCTGGCACCTGGGCAGCGGTTAAACCATCGCCCTGGATGCCAGCATCCCGTACGAGCGCTGGCTGGAGGCCGGGCTGCTCCACTTCCAATCCAGCTCCCTCCTAAAGTGCCTGGGAGAGCAGTGGAAGGTGGCCCAAGTACCTGGACCTCTGCCACCCATTTGGGAGACCCAGATGGAGTTCTAGGCTCCTGGCTTTGGCTGGGCCCGACCCTGGCTGTGGCAGGCATTGGAAGTGAACCAGCAGATGAAAGATCTCGATCTCTCCTCTTTCTCTCCCTCCCTCCCTCCCTCTCTCTGTGTCATTCTTCATTTCAAATATGTAAAAATAAAGGCTTGATGCTCACAGCACCGTGAGGTAGGACCTACGACTGGCCCTACTTTACAGGTGAGGAAACTGAGGCATGGAGGCACAGAGCGCTTAAGCAACCAGGTGGAAGTCACAGAACCAAATCTGCAGCTGAGACCTGAACACAGGAATCCCACACCGGAGCCTGTGTTCCTCACCCTGTGTGCCACCTCGCTGTGACGTCAGCTGGCTGCCCTTTGTGGACCCCCGAGGCCTTACCCCTGCAGAAACCTCGCACACTTTGCTTCATCTTTAAACAGCACAGTATAACGATGTTGGGAGCGACTGTGACGCAAAGCGAGGGTCCCGGGTGACGCCGGCGCCCTGTCTCCTAGGTCACCAAGACGATCCTGGCCTTCCACCGCGCCGAGGAGGCCGCCTTCAGCAGCGGCGAGCGCGAGCTCTTCGTCCAGTTCTGCACTGCCTTCCTGGAGGACCTGGTTCCCTACCTCAATCGCTGCCTCCAGGTCCTCTTCCCGCCGGCCCAGCTAGCGCAGACTTTAGGTAAGGGGAGGGAGGCAGCCTTTCTTTGCACGGCTTTGCTGGAAATGCACCTTGCGAACGACGTGATCCACCTGGCGACGCCGGCCACCGAGCAGCCCCACGTGATGGCTTTACACGAAGTACGCAGAGGAGGGATTTAACTCGTTTTCCCCGACCTGCTGTCACGTCCCGCGGCCCCTGCGGTGGGAGTGAGGGTGGGCGAGGCAGCGGGCCAGGGGGCAGAGGGCCCAGGGTGGCCGCCGCGCATTGGGTCCCCACAGGAAGGCCGGGGCTCGCGCCCTGCGCGGGGCTGCCCGCCTCCTTCCTGGTCTCGCTTTAGTCTGCAACAGGATGACTGTGTCTGCCCCTCCCTTTTATTTTCTTCCTGTGATCTCTAGACTGAATTTCAGTGTAACTCATTTTCCATTTCGCTCTCCTTACCGTCTGCGGCAGGCATTCCACCCACTCAGCTCTCCAAGTACGGGGACCTTGGGCACGTGGACGTCAGCGCCATCCAGGAGCCCCTCGCCTTCATCCTGCCCAAGAGAGAGATGGTCTTCTCCCTGGACGGAAAGGAGCCGGCGGCCGAGCCTGGCCCCTCGGCGCCCCCCGAGGGCGGCCGGGAGGAGGCGCTGTCTGCGGAGCCGGCGGAGCCGCCTCCCGAGAGCACGTAGCCGGCCCCGGGCGCCGAGGCGGCCTCTCGCGCGCGAGCACGCGGGGAGGCGGGTTCAGGGGGCGCCCGGCTTTCCCCTGTCCGCGGGTGGCGCGAACAATAAAGCTCGTGGGCGCCCACCGCCTGCCGCTGTTCTCGCGACGCCGCTGCCCGGAGGCGCGGGAACTGCGCTTCCCGGCGTCCCCGGCGGCTTCGGGGGCGGGGCGGGGCTTCCCGGGCGGGCGCCATGGGCCGGCTGTGCGGCGGGCTGCCGCTGCTGCTCGGGCAGCTCCGGGGGCGCCGCTGTGCCGGGCCGGCCCCGCTGTGGGGCGAGGCGGCGGGGGCCGGCGGCGCCCGGGCCTGCAGCTCCGCCGCCCGGGACGGCGCGGAGGGCCCGGCGCGCCGGCGCTCCTACTGGCGCTACGTGAGGCGGCTGGTGCGGGGGCCGCCCGAGCCGCCGTACTCGCACGTGTGCCAGGTCGGGGACCCCGTGCTGCGGGCCGTGGCGGCCCCGGTGGAGCCGGCGCAGCTGGCGGCGCCCGAGCTGCAGCGGCTGGTGCAGCGGCTGGTGCAGGTGATGCGGCGCCGGCGCTGCGTGGGCCTGAGCGCGCCGCAGCTCGGGGTGCCGCTGCAGGTGCTGGCGCTCGAGTTCCCCGAGGCGCTCTTCCGCGCCTGCGCGCCGCGCCTGCGCGAGCTCCGCCAGATGGAGCCCTTCCCGCTGCGCGTGCTGGTGAACCCCAGCCTGCGCGTGCTGGACAGCCGCCTGGTCACCTTTCCCGAGGGCTGCGAGAGCGTGGCCGGCTTCCTGGCCTGCGTGCCGCGCTTCCAGGCCGTGCAGATCTCAGGTGCGGCCGGTGGGGGCGGCGGCGCGGCCCGGGGTGGAGGGGCTGTGGCTGAGAGCGGGCCGCGCGGAGGGGGCTCTGCCCGGTCAGCGAGGTTGCTGCGCTAAGCCAGCCTCCTGGGCCCGGGAGGCACGCAGGCAGTGCCGCGCTGAGACGCCGCCCTGGGCAGCAGCTTACAGCGCTGGGAGGTCGGGAGGAAGACGGCTGCTCTTTGCCCCGCGGACAGCGTAGGGCGTGTGCCGGCCGGCGGTCGCGCTGGCATCCCACGGAGGCTCCACCTCCGACCCAGCTGCCCGCGGATGGCCCGAGTGCCTGGGCCCCTGCGCCCGTGTGCAAGACCTGGCTTGAGTTGCAGATTCCTGGCTTTGGCCTGGCCCAGCCCTGGCTGTTGCGGCCATTTGGGGAGTGAACCAGTGGATCGAAGATCTCTGTCCCTCTGTAACTCTGCCTTTTAAAATAAATTTAAAAAATAATAACACCGTCAAGATTTGGGTGAACATAAAAGAGTGGGGAACCAGGTTAAATACCTGGTGATGGGCAGAGTTGTTTTCAGCGTGGAGGCTGCTATGCCCCCTCCCTTTAAGAGGCACAGCGACAGAGGCCTTCCATCCACTGGCTCACTCCCCAAATGTGTGCAGTACCCAGACCTGTGCCAGGCTGAAGCCAGGAGCCAGGCATTCCAACCGGGTTTCCCACTTGGTGGCTGAAACTCAAGTACTTGAGCCAGCATCTGCCACCCCCGAGGGCTTATCTGGGAGCCGAGTCAGAAGCAGAATAACAGGACTCAGTCCCAGGCACCCTTGATAAGGGATGCGGGTGTCCCAGGCAGCACCTTGACCCTGTCCCCCCCCCAGTGCCCGCGCCTTGGTTCCCTTGCTCGGTACCTCTTCCAACAGCAGTAGGGAAAGGCGGCTGCGAATGGTGGCCTCCCCTCACCCCCGCCGGAACTTCCTTTGCAGGGCTGGACCCGAGAGGTGAGCAGGTGGTGTGGCCAGCGAGCGGGTGGACGGCCCGCATCATTCAGCACGAGATGGACCACTTGCAGGGCTGCCTGTTCATTGACAAGATGGACAGCAGGTCGTTTACAAACGTCCACTGGATGGAGGTAAATGACTGAAGCTTTCCTGCCCGACTCGGGGGCCTGAACACCAACACGGACTGGGAGCTGGACACAGGGTACCTGGCTTCACCTTGGCATTGGCTGGAATCCCAGAAGACAGTGGACTGCCAGAGCGAGCCACCCTGAGGTGGAGGAGGTTAGAAACGTTTGCCCAGAAATCACCTGTGGACAAAATAATGCCACAACTTGGGAAGCAACTGCACCCCCACCCCGGGAGTGGGCATTTCTGAGGATTTTGTATGGAGAGAGGGTGACAAGTAAATAACCCCTCAGACGTGGTTTCGTAAGGGCTGTATAATCCGCTCCCAAAGCCAAGATCTGATACTAACGTCGTCCCCAAATTCCTGAAAGCTGTTCTGAAAACATGGAGTTGATCATCTGCACGGTGTTCTTTTTACAAAGGGCTGTGTGTGCCCTCGGCACGCTTGCTTGTGGAAGTGACACCCAGGCAGAGGGTTCCCAGCGCAAGGAGGTGTGAAGGGCAGCATTTATGGAAGTAGGTGCCCACGCACCTGAACAGGTTCTGCAGTTAGGTCTTCACTTCCACAGACTAGGGGAGGACTGTGCTTCCAGTACCCACGCACCTGAACAGGTTCTGCAGAGTTAGGTCTTAACTTCCAGACTTGGGAGGACTGTGCTTCCAGTACCCACGCACCTGAACAGGTTCTGCAGAGTTAGGTCTTAACTTCCACAGACTTGGGAGGACTGTGCTTCCAGTACCCACACACCTGAACAGGTTCTGCAGTTAGGTCTTAACTTCCACAGACTTGGGGAGGACTGTGCTTCCAGTACCCACGCACCTGAACAGGTTCTGCAGAGTTAGGTCTTAACTTCCAGACTTGGGAGGACTGTGCTTCCAGTACCCACACACCTGAACAGGTTCTGTTGAGTTAGGTCTTCACTTCCACAGACTTGGGAGGACTGTGCTTCCAGTACCCACGTACCTGAACAGGTTCTGCAGTTAGGTCTTCACTTCCACAGACTTGGGGAGGACTGTGCTTCCAGTACCCACACACCTGAACAGGTTCTGTTGAGTTAGGTCTTAACTTCCACAGACTTGGGAGGACTGTGCTTCCAGTACCCACGCACCTGAACAGGTTCTGCAGTTAGGTCTTCACTTCCACAGACTTGGGGAGGACTGTGCTTCCAGTACCCACGCACCTGAACAGGTTCTGTTGAGTTAGGTCTTCACTTCCACAGACTTGGGAGGACTGTGCTTCCAGTACCCACGCACCTGAACAGGTTCTGCAGTTAGGTCTTCACTTCCAGACCTGGGGAGGACTGTGCGTCCAGCGTCCTGGGCAGCTGCTGCCTGGCTCGGTCTTTGGGTGCAGGCCGTGGGGCAGGGCTGAGGGCGGCTGCTCGCTGGGAGGGACCAGTGAGCCCCTTCCTGCACAGTCAGGACAGACCCAGAAAGCAGGACAGGAGCTTCCTTCCCGATCACACTGCCCAGGGTAGCTTAGGGGAAACGTCAGGACTTGATCCGAGGTGAAGTAACTCGGCCTTCTGGGTGACTGCTCATTTATGTTGAGTATTGGGAAGCAGGTGCTTTCGCCCCCCAGTCTTGAAAATCAAAGCAAGCCGGTAGGAGGAAGTCCAGTGAGTTGTTTAGAAAAAAGGGGTTTTAAACAGCCGTTCATTAAGTGTACCTAGGAAAGACTCCCCCATCCCCCGGCTTTCTCTGGGGAGCACCCCCGTCCCCACTGGCGGCAGTCAGACTTGGCACAGGCATCCGACCACGCCCTGCCCTGAGGTCAGACCTAGCTTCTGGGAAAGTCTAGAGAGCCCTCCTGTCTACTGGAAACTCACTTTCTGCAAGTGAGAACGCAGTGGCTTCCCCTCATGGGGCAGCCCGACACGCTGGCGCCCTCGGGTCACAGGGCAGTGGCACTGACTCCTTGCAGTTCCAGTAAAGAAATCGTCCACCCCAGGCAGCCATCACCACAGGTTAGCCACTGTGAGCAGTGGTTCCTGCCGCTGAGGAGGGCACAGAAAGGCAGGTGTTTGACAGCTGTGACCCAAGCTGCCCTACAGACCCCGTTCACCCCCGTGGCTTGTCAGGGTATTTAGGCAGCAGAAATGAGGAAGCAGGTGAAAAAAGGAACAAGGGCCTCCTGACCCGAGTAAACGCAGCAGCCTGGAAAGTCCTGACTAGCTCACTGAGGCTGCAGAGGGGCGCTTTCCTGCCCTGACCTGTGTTCTAGCCTTCACAAGTGGGGACTGGGGGACGGGGGCAGATAACCAGTGACACAGGAACTCCCAAGTGACAAAGAGCCCAGGCACACTGCTACATAAATGTCCCGTGGATGGGGCCGGTGCTGTGTAGTGGATAAAGCCACCAGCTGCATGCCAGCATCCCATATGGGCACTGGTTCAAGACCCTGCTGCTCCACCTCTGACCCAGCTCCCTGCCATCGACCTGGGAAAGCAGCAGAGGATGGCCCAAGTGCTTGGGCCCCTGTGCCCATGTGGGAGACCGGGGAGAAGCTCCTGGCTTCAAATCAACCCAGTTCTGGCCATTGCAGCCATTTGGGGGTGAACCAGTGGGTGAAAGAAGCCCTCTAACTCTGCCTTTCAAATAAATAAATAACTCTTTTATAAAAACTGCCACCTGGAGGCCTGCTGATGCCGCAGGTAACGTGGGGGTGGACACAGGGTGGCCCTAACCCACTAGCACCGAGGGCAGCTGTGCAGCCAGCCCTTCAAGCAAACGGGGGTGGGGGTGGGCTAGAACAAGCCCTGCCGCGGGCTGCCTGCTTCCTACCTAGGCCTTTTCTGTGTGACACGGTGTTACTGGCTGTGTCTGTGCCAGCAACCTCCTCAGCTTCTGCTCCCTGGCACTTGGCATTTCCGGGCTGCCTCCTCTGCCGGAGGCGGGACCGCAGGAAGAGCTGCCCGGGTTCCCTAAGCACTCCATGCGGCCTTCTGAGGCCTGGGAGGGGTCCTTGCCCACCTGCATGCAGAACAGGCCTGCAGGGGTGGCAGCTCGCGAGCATTCCTGCTTCTGCTGCAGGCGGGGAGGGGGCAGGAGGAGGAGAAAACCAGAGGGGCAAGGGCCAAAGCTGAAGTCACTGCAGTTACTCAAGAAGGGAAGAGGTTTATTAGACCATTTCCAGGAGAGGGACCCGGGGCAGGGCAGTGGCCGTGCTCAGCGTTCTCACACCCAGAGGAAAGGCAGCCGTGCAGACCGCCCACCACCTGCCTCTGACCGACCGCACCGGCTTTGTGCTCACAGAAGCCATCTCCTCCTGCTGCGAGGAGGACACGGGGCCCGGATGCAAATGGGGTGGATGGGAATGGCTGTTCTTACTCTCAGTCTTTGCAGGCAAAGCTTGGCCTGGGGATCCAGGGGCTTCAGCCAGTGTGTTTTCAAGGAGGCAAACTTGGGCATCAGAGGAGCAGAGGCAGCGGGGCCTGGCAGCCGTCTGGGGGCTCTGCTGTGCCACCCACAGCTCAGCTGCTCCCACTCCTTGTTGCGTCCAGGTGATTTTATTTATAAACAAGTCGGAAATCCAAGCAGCATTAATTTAGGGGAACAAAAAAATGTTAAAGGAAAAGACGATGCGTGGGCAGGCTGAGCAGGAGAACTGGTGAGCGTCCAGGAGGGGAGAAGGGAGAGCCGGAGTCCACCGTGTGCACACGGGCGGCGCGGCGGAGCGTCTCTGGCCGCCAGGCCCTGCGAGGCCCTTCCTTCCTGCTCCCGGACGCACGCCAGCAGAGGGGATGCTGTAGTGACTTTAGGACGAGCCCAGAGCCCTGTCCGGCCACTGCCGCAGAGAGAACCATGGATGTGCCCCAGTCGATCTCCCACCTGCATCACCCTAATGAAGCAGCTTTTAGCTCTCCTGGCCGAAGTCCTCTGAGAATTTCTTCACTTTCAGGAGGTCATCTGCGTTCACCGTGGGCCGAGTGGTGGCCAAAGAGCGGAGCATGTCCGACTGCAAAGACCAGAGCAGGGGCTGAGACGCAGCGAGGCTCTGGGGCCTCGGACTCCCCTCCCCCGGCCCTGCCATCTACGTAGAAGCCTGCCTTCCAGGTCACCTCCCCCACCCCGCACACAGCTGCCTCTCGAGTCTGCCCACGCAGCACCCGCTTCCCCCTGGGGCAGCTGCGTTTGCAGCCTGAGGGCTCGAGGGCCTCTGCTCTCTTCACCACACTAACTCCCGTAGCAGGCGTCTGAAGTGGGCCCCACACCACCCCTGGCAGAGCCCTGCAATCAGCAGGACTAGGAGAGGAAGAGGCCCCGGCTACTGGGTTGGGAGCCGCCTTGGAAAGTGCACCCGACTGTGCCCATGGACTTTTACCCGTCCCTTCTGTGAACCAAGGAAGCCAAACCCCCGGGCCGAGTCCATGACTGGGGCCTGACTTTTCTTGCTGAAGATCATAAAATGCTAACGCCGCAGGGGCCCTCACCACCCGGAGCCACAGAGGCTTCTGTGCAGCAGCCGCAGCAGCCCAGCACACGGCGGAGCGGCTCATTTCCACTCTGACCCAAGTTTCCAGTTGCAGGGCTCTGTGCGGCCTCAGCTGGGCACTTACCATGCAAACCACAGGCTCTAAGAGTTTGTCACCAGGGACATCCATCCACGTCATCTCCATGGCCCCGGGGTCTCCCGGTGAGCATGGCGTCAGGAGGTCGTCAATCATGACGCCAGGGTTGGTGCGAGAAGGGCCACAGACCTGAAACCAAGCCGGACTTTGACTGGGGAGCAGGGCCGCCCTCAGGTTTGGGGAAGGGCAGAACACCTCGTGTTTCTAAGGACGTGCTAAAGGGGAGGGGATGGTGGACGCATGGGCTCCTTCACGCTGTCCAAGCAGCTCAGGGACTGGTTTCAGAGGCTCGCGGTCAGTGCCCTTCCAGCCACTCCGCTGCAGCTCCCACTGCAGCCCCAGCCCCCACCCCTAATGTCTCCCTCATTCACGCAGGCAAGTCTCATCACGAAGTCACATCCCGAACAGTTTTAGTTTTCTGGCTGAAGTCTACACTGCTGAGCACTGCCCCATGTCCCCAGGGCTCACGCCCTCCCCTCCTCCAACCTATGGCTCGAATGCCAGCCCAGCATGGCAGGTTCAGGTTGAACCTCCAGGACGCCTACTCTCCCTCACCCTGCTCTGTTCCCGAGTCACCTAAGAAACTAGCATTTGTTTGTTTACTGTTCCTCCCCCAGCCGGAGAGGAGGCTCCTGGAGGGCAGGGACTTTCCTATGTGTGGTCACTTAATTCCTCCCAGCACCCAGGACAGGGCCAGGCACAGAGCAGGACCCCCAGGAGTCAGAACAAAGACCTGCTGATGCGGCGGATGTGTCCTGGTGGCTCGAACGTTTCCCTGGCGTCCGCCCTGCACAGAGCTCTTTCTGGTTGACTGCGGGGTGTTAAGATGGGGCCCTGTCCTCAGGTTGCTGAAGCAGAGGACCCCAGCAAGTGGAGCCCCGGGCCCACCTGGCACTCCCCCTGCTCTCCAGAAGAGGTGGTCACTGGAGGAGCTGGGGAGCAGGACCAGGGTCTGGCAGAGCGCAGTGCTTGCTGGCCACGCACCTTCTTGAAGTGTGTCGCCGACTGCACTTTCCTGACGGGCTGCATGAGGGAGTCCCGCACGATGACGCTGATGTCTGCCCCAGAATAGCCCTCCGTCTTGCGGGCCAGCTCGTGGATGTCGGCGTCTGTGAGGCTGTGGGGAGTGCTCCCCAGATGTAACCGGAACATCTGCGCACGGGCAGCTTCCTCTGGTAACGGAATGTAGATTCGTTTTTCAAACCTAGAAAGCCAAGCGCAGGGCAGGAGTTGAGAGCAGGGGCTAGAAGGGTGCCAACAGGAGCAGCACGGAGACCGAGTGAAAGCAGCCGGCTTCCAGGCCGGCACTGCTGGTGGCATGGCCAGCTTCAACAAAGACCTGAGGACGACCCTGGAAAACGGCTTTGGGTCACAGCCATGGACTGCAGTCACAGGCTAACCATGGTTACAGAAGACTCCGGGCCCCCAGCCCCTCCTGGGGAAGACTCACCTCCTTCTAATGGCCGAATCCAATACCCAGGGGATATTTGTGGCGCCAAGAACCAGAGTCCCATCATTGTTATTCCCCACCCCTGTGGAGAAAGGGAGACAGCGGCTGGCTTTGACAGCACCTGCACAGGTCAGGGAGACTTGTGGGGCTGCACCTCTAGGGCTCTCTGTGTCACCAACGGCAGCCAGCCCCGGGCCACCACAGGTGAGTCCCAACTGAAGCTAAGCCAAGTCCTGG